AGGCCCAGGGGACTTACTGAGTAGGTTAGAAGTACAATTAAAGTTACCGTAAATGGAGTGCTTAGAACCGAGTTACTAAATCCCCTGGGCCTCCGAGTAAACCCTAACCCCTAAACCCTAAGTCCTAAGCTCCTAAATCCCGAAAATAGGGTTCAGGGCTTTGGAGTTTAGTGTTTGGGCTTGACGACGTCGGTTTTTGCAGCTGGACCGAGGGCTTTGCAAGGGATTTAAAGGGTTTTGTTTGTGGCGCCTTGAAGGGTTTAGGGCTTAGGGACCCTAAACCTAAACCCTACCTAGACTGGACGGAGGCTTTTACAGTGCTTTGTAGATGTTGTGCTAGGGTTCTTCCTGGACTTTAATATAATAGGGGTTAGGGCAGTTGGTTTCGCAAGGCGTTTGTTAGGCTCCATCGTAGTTCCTTTTTTGGTTGAACACGCTTTATATTTCGGATCCTACAAAGTAACCCAGAAAAGCATGTATACAGGTCGACTATAGATGCACGAGAGAACAACTGTAGAAGCCCCAAATCCCTAAACCCTAAACCCTAAATGAAGAGCCCTAATTAGGGCCCAAGGTTACTTAACCAGGTTCCTATTTAAAAAAAGCTTGGAGTTCACCCGCGTCAGTCCCGCACCCTTAAATCAAGCCACAGCATCCCCCCAAACCCTATTCCAAACCCTTAACCCCTAATCCTCAAGCCCTAAACCCTAAGCCCAAAACCCCCCAACCCTAAACCCGAAAAAGAAGCTAGAAAGCTGAAGCCTACCATGAGCACTGTGTCAGGCTCCCCGAGAATCCGCGGGTCTGCCTCGAGCCTTCAAGCCCTCATCCACACAGCCTTGGGGTTTAAGGTTTAGGGCTTAAGGTTTAGGGTTTCAGGTTTAGGGCTCAAGGTTTAGGGTTGAAGGTTTAGGGTTTAGGGTTTAAGGTTTAGGGTTTCAGGTTTGGGGTTTAATATAAGGTTCAGGATTTAGGGTTTAAGGTTTAGGGTTTAGGCTTTAGGGTAGCCACACAGCCGTACTCACGTCCCTAGCTCATTTCCCTCAAGCCTGTGGAAGAATGGGTACGTACGAGGCATCCTCATTATTGCGACCTGATTCAAGGAATCTGTAAACCCTAAACCCTAAACCCTAAACCCTAAACCCTAAACCCTAAACCCTAAACCCTAAACCCTAAATCTCTGGGTAGGACGAGGTGCCATGAGGGTCCCCGTTCAGCTCCCCAAAACTTTACGGCACCCCTGCAAAAAAGGACCCTAGAAGTGACCCTAACTTAGAGAGCTACACCCTAAACCCTAAACCCTAAACCCTAAACCCTAAACCCTAAATCCGGCCCAGACCTTCCAAACACACATGATCCAGGAGTCCAGGAGTATACCTTAAATTATGCTAGGATCCCTTTTCATGATTCAAGGTCAACGTATATTACCTGTATATTCCTTAAACTACTTGGAGGCCCAGGGGACCTAGTAAGTAGGTTATAAGTAGGCTTATAAGTACCCTAAATGGAGTTACCCCAACTATAACCCTACTTCTAACCGACTTACTAAGTCCCCTGGGCCTCCAAGTATGGCAGAACCCATGATCTGATTCAAGCCCTAAACCCTAAACCCTAAACCCTAAACCCTGTATATGAACGGTACATTCCTTAATGAAGGGATTTTGGAAGGTCTGGGTGCGGGTCTCCCTGGGCAGGAAGGGCTTTCCATCGCGGCCGCCGCCTCAGCCATCCAAGCTGTGGCTAGATAACGGGCTTCAGTGTGAATGTCGGTTTAGGGTTTTAGGGTTTAGGGTTGTCAATGCTTGGACTTCTCTAAATTCCCTTAAAACAACAACGATGGATTTCCTGAAGCAAGGCTTAGGGTTCCTGTTGACAGATTTAGGATCGAGGACAACGTCTAAAATTTTAAACTTTGAGCCGTTAGCTTGGCGCGTTTTCTTGTTCTCTAACCCTCGACCATAACATACCCCTCAACCCTAAACCCTTAGCCCAAAGAGACCTAAGATCAACCCTCAACCCTAAACCCTAAACCCTTAGCCCAAAGAGACCTAAGAAGACGATCATGCGACCAGTATGGAACCTTGGTCTGAAGCTGAGGATTATGGCCTATTCAGAGCTTTATAAGGGTTTGGGCTCTAGGGGTTATAAAAGCCCTATAAATTCTATAATTATAGGGGTTTTGGGGTTTAGGGGTTTTAAAACCCTATAACTAGGCTATAACTAGTTTAGGGTCTTGAGGGTATAAAACCCTATGACTAGTTTAGGGTCTAGTTAGGGGTTATAAAACCCTATCTAAACAAAGGCCCCATTGAGAAGCCTGATTACGAAACCCTGTCGTGTTGCTCCGCTCGGTTTAGGGTTCAGGCTTGGGGTTGAAGGTTAGCTGCTTCGCGGCGCTTGCAGCCTCGAGGATTGCTTGCCTAGGCTGCTGGTGCGTGAAGGGTATGTTTGAAGGGTATGTTTGACATTGAAGTAGGTCGTATGTTGCGGAGCCTGTCTGGGGATATCCTAAGTCTTAAAGCCACGTTTTAACCTGTCCTCTAGTCCTGGTCGTATGTGCTTGAGGCCTTGATGCAGGGTTCGACATGGGGCCGGTCTTGCTCAGACCGGATCAGGCATCGGGCTTGTTCACGAACAAGCCGTCCGACCCGGGTCTTGCTCAGACCTGGATATGATCAACATCGCCGGGACGGCTATGCATGTGCACAAGCTGGGCGATCGGCCACCGACGGGCAAGCAGCTGGCAGACGTGGACGTTGGGCCGCAGAGCGCAGCTGCTGCAGCTGCAATGTCATAACAACGTCGACGGTAGTCATGACTGCTGCGGAGTCAACGTGCGTGTCAGTACGTGACTCCGTTCTCATGATACTCGTGGTAAAGAAGCTGCTCCTGCTGACTCCCGCTACTACAGAACATGATGCACTGTCACGTCAGTCATGACTACAGTTTGTTCCTTGATTCTGGACTGGTGCTGGGCAAGAAAAGTTGGACGGCTCGGCACAGACGACTCCTTCAGCTTGCATGTTGCATGTGCTTGCTCTGAGCCAGAGACTGGGCGGTAAACAGCTCTTCACATGAGCCGTCGCATCCAAAATGCCGGCATGCCGAGCTTTCCGACACTTTCATTTCCAAGCGCTACCTAGACCCCAAAGGACCTACCTTTTTTAAGGACTCATATATAGGGAAATCATAGTAAGGAGCCCTAGAAAGGTGGTTCTTTGGGGTTCAGGTATATAGCCTGATCCCCAAGCCTACAGGTCAGTCGCTTGAAATCCGTACCAGACCTCAGCTCCTGAAAACCCTATCTTAGCTTTGCTTCAAGAAAGATACTGTAGCAACCTAGACAATTACCAACGGTATTTTGGGGTTCTACTTATGATAGTTATAGTACGCTTGTATGATACACCGCACAGCCCTTTTCTAAATTATTAGGGCTTCTACATGAAACACAGAACCCTTAGATGCACCCTAAACCCTAA